TATATATATATATATATATATATATATATATATATTTTTTAATATTATTAAATTTTTAATGAGAAAGACTAGAATTACACAATTGTGATATTTGAGAGATTAAAATTGTTCAATTAAAAATTGTGAGACTAAAATTACACAACTGTAATATTTTAAGAACTCAAATTACTCAATTAAAACCTTAGGGATCAAAATTGCATAATTATAATACTTGAGCGATCAAAAACACAATTAAGGAAGAATATTCTATTTTCAGTTTTGGAACGGACCGTTTTGAAGCCAGAACAGCCTGTTTTGCTACACTGGTTGTGTGTTAGTTTTTGAATCTGAAACGGCCCGTTCCGGTTTCAGAACGGGCCGTTCCGGTTCCAAATTTTTTCAAAAAAATTGTCATCGACGTGGCATCCACGTATGCATATCATAAAGCGATATTTTAGTAAGGTTCATGATATATACACTTCCTTTTTTTATAAATACACCTCTTTTTTAAAAAAAATAATTAAAATTTTAAAATGTTCTTAATTTTTTTGTTTTTAATTTTTAATTTTACATCTACAGTATTTAATTTAGTACTTTTTTCACACATTTTCCTTCCTTTTTTAAATTTTTACATGCACTCCCTTACCTTTCCTTTATCATACTTATTTTGGTAGTATGTAAAAACTAACAAAAAAAAAGTGTGTAAAAAACAAGAAGAAAGTAGCAAATTGAAAGTTAGAGGTGTAAAATTAGAAAATTTAAAAAAAGAACTACAATATTTTATAAATTAAAAAAATAAAAGAAGTGTACTTATAAAAAAAAGAGGTGTATATATCATGAGCCTTTCAATAAGCATGGGAAAGGAACTAGTCATAGCAAGTTTGGGTCGTCTTACCCAAATCTCAAAAATGATGGGCTTTAACTGTTTAAGAGAGAATATATAAAATCAACTATATTTTTGGGATTTTCTGGGTTATTTATTTAATTATTTATGCGTGGTTTTTCTGGTTTTGGGGAACCCTACATAACTAGGCATCACATTTCAATAATATTTAAATTTATTGACTTTGGAAATAATAGTTATTTGTTTCTCATTTTAGTGTAATAAGCAACAAGACTCGTTTGAATGTGGATATTACATCATGTATTGGATGAGAGCCATAGTTTCTGCGGGTATTACTGATTCTTGGGCGCAGGTAATTCATTCAGCCATTGCTAGGTCCGACGTAAATTTACGTCGGCTATGGTGTAGTCTGACGTAAATTCTGGCATTTTTTTTTTTAAATTTTTGTTGTTTTTTGATATACCCAAAACCTGCATACGGTCCAAAATACAAAACCTAAACTAGGCAGTCCAAAATACAAATTCAAATTACATTTCAAAATTGAATGACAAAAAGAAAATAATATATAAATCTTAAAAAGAATAAATTATGACAATGTAAATCCTATTATCCAAAAAAAGCTATAAAACATATATTTGTCAATGCTATCAAACTAGAAACATAATATCTAACTAACTAAACTTAATTAAAAATCTAACTATTATATACTTTGAAGAAAAAAAGTTGCCCATTGTTCTCTTATCTTGATGATCTCATCTTCGGGCAATGGAGATGGATCTTGAAAGACCTGAAACATTAATTTAAGTGTCATTAATATGCAATGTTAATTATCGTAAAGGTAAATATACTTAAATAAATTTTGATATGAATTAC